ATAATATATACCCTTTTTCAGAATTCAAATAAATTGCAGAAACACTCCTCCAGTAATTTCTAAATTTATGAATATTCATTAGTATATTTGTAAAATAAAATTAAAAGATAGTAGTTAATATATATTTATAATTTCAAAAGCTCTATTTATAGATTTTAGAAATATAGAAAATGCATAATAGGTAAATATTACCAAAATCTTGGTATTGAGCTGTTATTAAAAAATATAAAAATATAATAATTCTTCATTATAATAAAAAAGGTGTTTTTTGTTAAACCCCATAATATAAAATGTGCTTATATAAATATACTTTTTTGCATCCTTAGTTGTTGTGAAAATAGGTATAAAAAAGGAATAAATAAAAATTACTCTTCTGGAAAAGTAAATTTTAAAATATGTTAGAATTTCTTATGATATAAAAACATAAGTAATGCATCAAAGCTTCTATCATTTTTCTATATGGCAAACATATTATTTTCATTTGCATGTCAATTTTCTGTTATTATGTCAATATTACCTCTTTCTTTACTTAATTTGCACAGCATAAAGAGACTTTTTTTGTTAATTTATCTAATGTTGCTTAATAGTTTTATTAAATATTTGTATACAGTATTTATTCCACATATATTTAGGCTTCTAAGAGCATACTTCTTTTTGTACACATCAACATGTAAATTAATTTTATTTATTTACAAATTTTCAAATAATTAAAGAAAAGAAAAATTCTTACAGAAGATATAACTCGAAAGATATTATAAATTCAAACTGTTATATGTCTAATAAAGATACAAAAAACATTTCTTACAAAATAATACGATACATTTCATAGTATATTTAATTAATAAATAAAAATAATCACAATTACATTAATATATACATTATTACACTTCAAACATAGATATATATTATATATATAATAAATAGATACTCATAAATAATAGAACAGAATGTTTTATAAAAAAAATTTTTCCAAAATATTTATGAAATATACTATCTACAGAGAACTAATAAGAAGTGTTTTATTTTAATGTGATTAGGAATAATTATTAATATATTACAAAAATTATGCAGAAAAGTATGCTGAATTAATACATTAATAATATTCACTCAATTGAATATTATAATATTTCTTAACCAAGCAATAACTGATTAATATTTTAATAATAGAAATTTAAACCTGTTACAATTAGAACCTATTAAGCCATGAACTAAATAAAAAATAATAATTATGTAATAATTTAGGCAAAAATGTTCTTTGTAGTACGTACTTTTTATTACACAGTTAAGAAAATTTTATTTTTGTCATTATAGGTCTTAAATTATATTAAACGACAAGGAAGAGATATATATTTTTTTAACTGTTTTATTATTAATAAAATGTATTTTTCTGTTTTTCTTAACTAGTACAGAAATCAAATATAAAATTTAATATGTGTAACATTATTATTTAACACAATATTAAATAATTTAATATATCATACTTAATCCTTCTTGGACGATCATACATAGAATCAATTTTTTACAATAATTCTTATTCATATAGACGAATTGATTTTATAATAAGTTTTGAGGTTAATAATTATACATCAAAAATATAGGGAAAAAATAAATTATTTATATAGAATTATTACTTCTTTTCATTATAAAAGATATAAAACTATACAGGAATATACCCTAGTTAATAACAATACCATATATACTTTACACAATACATGTATAACTTCCAACATAAGGAACAAGTAAGAATATATATTTATTATAGGTTGACTTTTGGACTACAAGATATGAGATTTTCAGAAAACATAAATTTTTTTTGATAAAGGTCAAATTCATAAATAAAATATTATGTAGGATAAGATGTAAACACTACAAGCAATATAATTATTACTTGATTATATTAATGAACAAAATGGATATTCAAATAATATTTGTAATACGCATAATGCTATTTTTCCTCAGAGTACTTGTATTATTGGTGTTTTATTAAATAAAATACTAATGAATAAAAATAATATTTATAATATAAATAATTATTACAACTTATATTTGCATTATGATAATAAAAAATAATTCAGTATATTTTATTGTGATATGAATCACTAAAAAAAATCCATATACTTTTTATTATAAATTGAAATTCAAAAATAGAAACAAAAAATTGATTATATATAATTTCTAGAAAATGAAAAATTGTAGATTAATTAATAAATAATTTTTATTACCTACCATTGGGAATTTGGAGATACAAATGTAAGAAATCAAGAAATATTTACAATGCTATTAAATTACATATGATGATGTACTAGATATAAAATAAAAGTAATAATATAACTAGAAGAAATAAGTATATTTCACTTTATTCTATTATTTTGTTAATTATTCCAGCAAGAAATGAAATATTTTCCTAAATTTCAAGAAATGAATGATTATAAAATATATTTAATCGAAAATTCTTAAACATATAGTAACAACAAATATTCTTAAAAATAAATTAAATTGAAATTTGTTAATAAATATAAAAAAGATAACATACACATGCATTAGGACTTACTATATCTACGATATAAATAAAACCTCCATAAGTTAAAGATTCATGAAAACATTTAGTTTTTAATTTATTAATCAATAATAAATAATTTTCATAACTATAATAAGCACTTATCATAATTTTACATGTATAATTTAGTACATAAATTATATTTATAGGATATTAGTGCTTTATATTACTAGGTACAATTCATTTGTATTCGTACATATCATACTAAAAATAATACTACTTTAATATTTCTAATTAGATATTTTCCCTAATTTTTTACTAAAAGACATGAAAATATGGAAGATTATAAAAGCGAAAGCAGAGAATTTTTATATAAATATATATATACAAATATATGAAAGAAAAAAACAGGATAAATATAAGAAAACAAAAACGTTCACATAGATGATAATTATAGATAGTATTTAATTACTGGCGTCTATAACTCTGTCATAAATGGGATAAATATATTTATAAGTTAGAAAATAGATCATATAAATATGCAGTATGAAAAATAAATTAATTTATTTCATTCCTTTATGCATATTACAGTTTTCATACAATAATATAGTTGTGTATTAATATTTTATATTTTTTTTGTGTAATACAGGTTATTGTGCACTAATTTAGGAAATTATATAGAACATAAAAAAATATTTATACAGATATGTTATATATTACATTTATGTAATTAAAAATTTAATTTCATAATACATATATTTATTTTCTATATATAATTGATTTTATACCATAATATATTAATTTATATACTTCAACAATCGTATTTGTGTAATAAAATAAGTACAACTTTATATAATATATAAAAAAAAAAATTCTCGAATATTTTATTAATACAAGAAAATGTACATTAAAATAATAATGGAAGAATGAAGAATTAAGACTATATAACTAATTCAATAATTAGTACAACACATGTATATTATAATAGTAAAAAATATATAAACTAAATAATGCATAGCTAAAAAATTGTAAAAATTGATGCATAAAATATAATGTTCTAATATACTCATTTTATATCTTATTAATATATTTATTATAAATAAATTATTATTTCATTCATATTATTATTATAAGAATTATGTATATATATATTAAAATTTTATGTTACGCTTTGAGAAATATTTAATATGCGCAAAAATTATATAAGATATATATATATTTTTCTTTAAATATATAAAAATTAATAAGAAATAAGTATTATGAAATCAATACAGCGTAAAATGCATTATAATATAGTAATAAAAACATTAACATATTCATTAGTTCTTATTTATACACAGAATTATATAACTTGTGAGTTCCTTTATTCAGCAATTAAATGTAATCAATAATTATATTAAGCAAAAATAATTTTAATTTTAAAAAAATACTCAATAAATAGAAATAAAAATATAATGACGATATTAAACGTTAATTATATGTTGAATAATGTCATTTAAAAATATAAATATATATACTACATCAGATAACTATGAATAAAATATTATGGTATAATAGTTCATTAATTCGTTACATTACATATCCATAAGATAATAGAACATAAAAATGATAAAATATATGTGGATACATTATATATTATTAAAATATGTTCATCAATTATTTTTTTGTATATATACTGAATATTTCATTATTATGGTATAATATAATTTAAAATATGAATATTATATTTATGTGTAAATACATATATATAGAATTAAATGTCTATTTATACTTTGAATATACATACATTAATTTTTGCATAATAAATATATATATAAATATCCAATAGTATATGGCATATTCAAATATAACTCATATAAATTAAAGTATTTTAATTTGGTGTGTTCTAAACATTTTTTATAAATAGGTAGTGAATTTACAAATAAATATAATAATATTTACAATGCCAAAAAATTTATGATGAAAATAAAATAATGAACAATAAAATGCAAACAGAATTAAGAATAACTAACCTTGAAGCACAAAGAGTGAATTCATGACCAAAGCTTTTTATAGTTGTATGAACATATATCAAATTTATAAAGTATTTAAAGACATATATATAAATATTATACAATAAAATTATCGATTATATTACATAATGAATTTAGTTTATTTCATAGTATGACAATATAATTTAAATAGTATTATATATAGAATATTTTTACAAACATACTGCTTATAATTTTATATTACAATATATATCCAACGATGCATACTTATTTTTGAATTTTATTCTTTGTTTTAAATAATATTCCTGTTATACCGAAATATAAATACTAACAGCGTTTTAAAGGTATGAATAACTTATAAAAAGTGTGAATATAATATAAAAATAAAAACATTTAATGAATTATTACCCATGATATAAATAAAATATTTATTCTGACATTTGCAAGAAATAAAATATTTTTTAAAAGAAGTGTAATAATCTATTTTTATTAATCCAAGTATATAAAATATAATGAGTGAACCTATACCAAAAAGATCAGATGTGCGTTTCAAAAGTTTATTAATAATATTATTTCGAAATGTAATTTTAATATATCTCGTTTGTTCATAACCGTGCGCAAGATATTTTCCTAAAAATATCATACATAATTTTTCATTATTTTATGACTTCTGTATTTAGTTTGATTTTACAGGTATATTTCCCAAATGTTATGAAGGTTTCTCATGGGATTTAATGATAAATAGATTACAGTCTGAGACTCAGAAATTTACAGCATTGTGTAGTGATTTTCTTAATGCAGTAAAAACATATCCTTTCCATTCCAATGAATTAATACAATATTACCGAATACTAAGTCTTTATTTACATCATATAGGAAATAAAATAAATAATGAAAATGTAGAAAAATGCTGTAAATATTTCTATTACAAGTTAAAAAAATTATTACTGGATCCTTATAAGTGTAATTGTGGGGGAACTGATAAATGTTATGAAAAAATGAAAAAACTAGAAAGAAAAAATTTAGGAATACAAATATCTGATATATGCCGCAATCATTTTATCGATATTGATGCACATACATCAAAAATATTGGAACGTCTAGATGAAATATATAATTTAATTGAGCTTTTTAAAAATCCTTTGCATAGGGGTGCTTCCTGAGTGCAGAAATATGAAAATAATATGAACCATTTAGAAAAATATCCAAATACATATAATGTCAGCCTTAATGCAGAACTAGAAAAAGTTTTTAATATATATAAAGATTTTTTGAAAAACTTGGCCTTTAAGTTGGCCTGGTTCTTGGGCCATACCACATTTCTCAAAAAAATAAACAGAGAAAAATACATTCAGAAGTAAACAAATAATAGAGAGCACAGAAAAAATTATAAGCGCAGAAAAAAACACAAGTAAAGAGACAACCGAAAGTACAGAAACAAATGCACTGGTAGGAACTAGTGAATACATAGGAACGAGTACAGGAATTGTTTTATGTTTTTTGCAATAATAGCAATTATATTCATAGTGTATAATGTTAAACATAGATTTAATTTATTATATGTATATTATAATAAAATTTATATTACACAGAATAATGTATTATTTATAATATATATATTAATCATACTTAAATGTATCGTATAAATGCCTTATATTCAGTATACAACTTATGGCTCATTTTTACAACCTAGTGTAAGAAAGATAAAAAGGAAGTTTAATAAAAATAATAAATATCATCAGAACATAATAGATTCATTTGACAGGACATATAATTACTCAAATAATAATAATTATAGAATACCATATACCTCAGAAGAATAAACATAACAAAAATAGAAATGTAAATGTTGAATAATATACGCTTTTCAAAGAATAAAATAGAATTATATAATATATATTTTTTATAAAACAGA